AGAGTTGGACAATGGATAAGGATGGCAGGAGAAAAATTGATGCCTTCGAGTTGTGGTGTTGGAGAAGAGTCTTGAACATACCAAGGAATGCCAAGAAAATCAATAGATCTATCTTGGAGAGAGTGACAAGTTTCTCCTAGGAGGAGAGGATTTTTAAGATCTATCTAGCGAAATACTTTGGGCAATTGGCCCAGAGGGACCCACTCTTGGAGAAGAACATCATGCTTGGAAGGGTGGAGTGAGAGCACCAGAAAGGAAGACCCCGGATGAGATGGATTGATATAGTAACTGGGGCAATGGCGGTTGGTGTGTTGGAATCAGTGAGACTGGCGAAGGACAGGGCAGACTTCAGAGATGCTGTACATAAGCTTGCTATGGGTCACAGGCGACTTGATAACACACAGCAACAACTGTGGCATATCTATCTAGTGGCAATATCACATGCAAGCAAAATACTGCTCAATATCATTGAAAAATGGCTACACTATTACATAAATAGACAACTGCCAGAAGTTCAAGCAGGATTTAGAAGAGGCCGTGGCACCAGGGATAAGATTGCTGATGTCAATGGATCCTGGCTGAAAGTAAAGAATATCAGAAGAATGTCTCATTATGCTTTATTGACTATGCAAAGGAGTTTGACTGTGTAGATAATAACAAGTTGTAGCTGACATTGAAAAGAATGGGAGTCCAGAGCACTTAATTGTGCTCATGCAAAACCTATACCTGGACCAGGAGGTTGTTGTGTGAATAGAGCAGGGGAACACTGCATGGTTTAAAATTAAGAGGAGAACGTGTCAGAGTTGTATTCCATTTTCATACCTATTTGATCTGTATACTGAACAAATTCTTCAAGAAGCTGGACCTGATGGAGAATGTGGCACCAGGATTGGATGGAGACTCATCAATAACCTGCATTATGCAGATGACACAACTTTGCTTGCTGAAAGGAGGACCTGAAGCACTTGTTAAAGGAGATCAAAGAAGACAGCCTTCAATATTGACTGCATCCCGATGTCAAGAAAAAAAATATTCTTACCATTGGAACGATAAGCAGCATCGTTGACAGATGGAGAAAAGATTGAAACTGTCAACAACTTCATCTTACTTGGATCCAAAATTAATAACCTTGGTACTAACAGTCAAGAAATTATTATTATTATTTCACTGGGATTGGAAGGAGGAGTGGCATCCACTTCCATAATAGCTTGCCTCCAGAAACCCTATGAATCTGGAGAGAGGATGAAAGGCACCCAAGAGTAGAGGACTCTCCTTCATAGGGTCACTATGAGTAGTCTGCCACTCGACGGCACTTAACAACAACAACATTGCACTGGGAAATTCTGCAGATAGAGACCTCTTCAACTTATTGAGGAGTAATGATGTCAGTTTGAGGATTCAAGTGTGCTTAATTCAGGCCATGCTCTTTCCAATCGCTTGCTATGCATCTGAGAGCTGGACAGTGAATAAGGATGACAGAATTGATGCCTTTGAGATTTGGTTTTGGAGAAGAGTGCTGAACATCTCAAGGATGGCTAAAAGATTAAACAAATATGTTTTGGAGAGGGTGCACCCAGAGTGCTCTTTGGAGGCAAAGATGATGAGACTTTGACTCACATACTTCAGGTGTATTGCTAGGAGGGGTTATTTCTTAGAGATGGACATGATGTTTGGAAAGGTAGGGTGAGTGAACGAGAGGAAGACCATAGACCAGTTACATTGACACAATGATCGCCGCAATGGGCTCTTCTGGTTCAGGAAGTGTGAGGATGGCACAGGATAGGACAGGGTTCAGGTCTGTTGCTCACAGGGTTGTTGTGAGTCAGACTCGACTCGGCAGCACCTAACAACTGGCCTAACACCTGCTAACAAAGTACAACTGCACGTGGTTCAAATCTACCAGTTGCTCTGCAGGAAAACAAAAGGGCAATCTCCTCTCTTGTGATTTACTGCCTCTGAAAATCCGCCACAGGGTCAGCTACGGGTTATTTCATTTCCAAATCCAAGGCAAACAACAGCATCTTTCAGTTCATTACTGCCAGAGACATGTTGGTAACATGCACAATAGTAGAATTTTCACTATTGTTGTAAATGTGAAATGTTAGATAACAAAATAAATCTAGTAGTAAGGTGCAGGTGTATATACTCTGTCCTAGAAGTCTATACTTAGATAAACTAAAAAAAAAAATTTTAAGAGGATTGACATTTTCAGATATGGAAAGATTCACAAGTTTTACATTTCCGTGTATCCTTCGGAAATTACTTGACAGTGAATGCAAACAAAATAAGAGGCTTTAAATTTTTCAAAGCACAAGGCAGACAAACCATGAAAATAGTAGTTATGCCAGGAAATTAGTTAAAAAGGCAAACACTGTTCACAGACTCTTGGACAGAGGCATCCAGAAGAAAAATTAGTTAACAAAAAGTTGAACTCAACAGGGAAGATATGAAAGAGAATTGTGCTTTTTAAAAATCAGGATATGATAAAGGAAAATAACATTAAGAGAAAGTGCAAATGAGAAAAGTGAGAGAGAGGATTATATATTGTATAAACTAGAAATCGCATTGCAGTGTAGAATTGCTCCACAGCGTTTTTAAGCTGAGACTTTTTGGAAGCTGGAGGCTGTCTTATGGGGCACTTCAGGGAAGGCTTAAACTGCCAATCAAGAGCTTAATGCACATAGTTCACTATGCACTAGAATGCATTAAGAGCAGGAATTGTAGTGATTTTCCTCCTTCCTTTCTCCTTTCCAATATTTTGCTCAATTATTCTTCTATTTTTCACAGTAAGTCTTACCCAGTATTTGTCCTTATTGGACTTAGTTATAATCACTCAGTATAATGCTCTCCAGACTCTCCTATGTTTACGTATTTTACAAAATTGTTCCTTAGTGCTGCATAGTATTTAATTGTGTGAATGAACCACAATTTCTCATTTTGTTGATGGGCATTTGAGCTGTTTCCATTTTCTCGCTATTGTGAATAGCTCTATGAACATAGGTGTACAATAGCTCCATTCATGTTTCAGTTGACTTCTTTGGGATATGTGTGCTCCTAAGAGTGGAATAGCTGGGTCATATGAGATTTCTATGTTCAGCTTTTTGAAGAAATTTTAAACTCCCTTCCAGAATGGAGGTTAGTGGGCAGATGAGGATGGGAGTTAGGGAACAGGAGAAATTCGCTGGAGACTTGAAAAGATGGGGTGGTAACAGGTAATCAATAGTGATTACTTATATAAAATATACCGTATATGACTGATACAGTGCAATGTCAAGTAATAAGGTGTGATAAAAAGCTGGAATTGGCTCAGTATCAACTAATTACAACATAATGCAAACTGAGTCATTACTTTAAACTGATCGTTAACAGGGCGCTCTAGTGGCCTAGTGGTTAAGAACACAGAAAAGGAAGTGTAAACTTGGTCCATAATCTGGTCTGATAATGAACAATAAAGTTAAAATAATGGTGTAGATGTTTATTGATTTTCAAATCTTAGATCAAATGAAGACCAAATACAGGAGTCAGGTTATACTGGCATACTTATTATATCAACACTGAATATATAAATGAAGACATAACTGACCATCGGATGTAAGCCAAGAGGAAGAAAGATGATGTAAAAGAATGGAAAGGGTGTGCTTAGAAGATAATTATAATAGAAAATTAGAAAGTAGGGAGGAAATGTGAAAATATGAGATCATGTTCCAAAGACATCTGGGGAAATGCTGGCATGATATGTTCAATTACAAATGCATCTCGGCTTTTTTCAGTATTTCATTGTCTGCCTTTGGGCATTATAAAAAATAGCTGAATAACTGAAATTATCCAAGTTTGTCATCGTAAGTATTGACATTTATTAGCTACACTTCATTTCCTTCCTGTTTCATAATCCTATTAATGTTTAAGACTAATAATAGAACACTGACTTGTCTTGGGGGAAAATGACTTTAAAGATCTTAAGTTATAGCTCAAAATAATGACATTTTGCCTTGGTACAGTTATCCTATGGTAAATCTTAACATTCATAAATCTTACAAATAAAGAGAAAGTTAGAATTAAAACTATAGGAGGGGGGAATCAGTGAATGGATTTTTATTCTAGGAAATTCACAGTTTAGGAAATTCATTGCTAGACCACGCCTGGCTTTTCAAAATATATAGAACCCTTAAAAATTTTTTTTTATTTTTTATGTGTGTGTGTGTATATATATATACATGTGTGTGTGTGTGTGTGTGTGTGTGCATGTGCATGTGTACCACTGAACTGGATCCGACCGGGACAGGAGGAGGTTGCCTCTTCTCCAGGGAAGCATCTGGTGGATTTGAAGTGCCCGACTTCGAGATTGCAGTGCAGCTTCTTGCCACTAAGCCACCAGAGCTCTCTTATATAATCCATTTTTATAATTGCAAAGGATATATGTTGCTTTGAGTCATTCATGTCTATTTTCAAGAAAGAAGGCATTTTTTTTGTAAGATATGGAATCAGGTAGACTTCTATACAGTAGTTTTGAGTCTCAAGATATTGATGTAAGGGAAAATGAACTAATTAATGAAGACACATTTATGGAAAAACTAGATGATTTTATTTATAAATGTCAAAGAAGTATTTAAACCAATTAAAATTTCTTTAATTAAGCATAAAGTTATTTTCACATTATCTACAACTATAGTAAGTAAATACAGTTCTTGACAAAAGACAGAATCTTTGGAATTTAAAACATCCCCAAATTCATAAATCTCTCTCTCTCTCTCACACACACACACTCACTCCTCCATTTTTGTTTATATGACAGTAGATTAAACAAATTAACACAGTTATACCATACAGAATAAAACAAAATTGGAATAATTTACACATAAGATCCATATTTAGAGCATCTTTATTAATAAAATACTATCCTGAGAATGAAGCTTCAGTCCTCCATGAAGCTTCAATATAAGCAAAAAACAACTGCTTAAGTAACAGCTGTTACTTATTTTTCAAGATAGACAAAGATATGTTCAAGTTGCTTGCTGTGGTTCTGAATGCTCAGTAGTTGGTTCATTTGAAGGTGGAATCGACCCAGAAGGGAATTCACTTCTATTCTCAGAATCTGGATTGGTGGGGTAAAATCCAGGTCTTGGAGGAAGATAATGAGGAAAACCCCTTGGTGGACAAACATTTCTCACTGTTCAAAGAAATCAGAAAAAGTTATTTTTTAAAATTTAACATCATAATGATCTGACCAAATTCATTTTGACATCAGTTTTATGTCATCAAAAAAATATAACTTCTTCAACTTTCTTTGGGTTTTTTGTGTTAGAATAACATTTTGATCAAAACAACTATAAAATATCATCTCACCCCAGTAAGACTAGCAAAATTTAACAGAACAGCAAACATCAAATGCTGGTGAGGCTGTGGAGAAACTGGAACCCTTATTCACTGTTGGTGGGAGTGTAAAGTGGTACAACCACTGTGGAAGGTGGTATGGCACTTTCTAAAAAAGGTGCAAATAGAAATACAATTTGACCCAGCAATTACACTACTGAGAATATACCCCAAGGAGACCATTAACTGCCACCCAAGCAGATATATGCACAGTTTTGTTCATAACAGCAAAGAGCTGGAAACAACCTAAGTGTCCATCAACAAATGAATGGATAGAGAATCTGTGGTATATTCACACAATGGAATAATATGTGGCATTGTAAAACAAGGAACTCATGAAATATTATTCAAAATGGTGACCCTGGAGGACATTATGCTGAGTGAAGTATCTCAGTCACAAAAGGACAAATAATGCATAGTGCCAGTGTTGTAAAACAGGACTGACATCGGGTTGGGGGAGGCCGAGAAAGAGGGGATAAATAATGTATACTGAATTGAAACAGATAAGGGAGAAAACTGTTTAAAAAGGATACGTGATTAGGTATTACTGTTATGACATGAGTCCAGAACAAAGGCTGCATACTGGAGTGGACTTGGAGGGAGGGACTGTATAACAAAAAAGAATTTTTCTTTTACTTTTCAAAGAAAAGAGTGAACTGAGGGGAGGAGTGGGCAGGGAGAAAAGTGCAACAATGAATGAATGAAAACCATATGTTTTTAAATTTTTTTTTAAATTTTAAAAATTTAAAAATTTTTAAAAAAGAATCACATTTTGAGGCATAATTTTTGTCCAATGGAAATCTAAAACTTTAAATCAGGAGAGCAGGTACTGTGAAAGAAAACAAAAAACAAAAAAACAACCTTTACAAAATTCCTTTTATTTCACTTTAAATTTTCAAAATAGAGGAAGAATATAGGAGCAATGACTTAGCAAATACTAGGGTACTGCCTAGAATTTGGTAATTATGTATTTTTTTCAGAAACCTTTATTTCTAAAAAGAAATGTAGGGGTATAAAATAAATAACTTATTCCTCTTCCTTATAAGGCCATGAAATAATTTTTAAAAATTCAACTAAATACATTTCAGTTTTAAAATTAGTTGTTTTATGAGGGCCATCAAATTAAGTACGATTCATAGTGATTCTATGAACAACAGATGTGAACCCTGTCCTATTCTGTACCATCCTCATCTCTAACAGAACTTCCTCTCCTCCTCCATCCCTCCACCACTTAATAACTGCTTATGTTGATATACTTCTAAAAATACTTTAGTAAAAAAAAAATTACATTCTTTAGCCAGCAATTTTACTGCTAAAATATTAGTTGTAATTATTCTGCTAATTGCTATAGTAACTACCCATTGTCTTCAAGTTGATTCCAATTCAGAGGGACTCTGCAGGAAAGACCAGAACTGCTGAAAGAAGTTTCTGATGCTATAAATTTTACAGACGTCAAAATATCATTTAGCAGTCCTGTGCTGACCCTACAGCTCTATCGGGGGTCTTTATCCACACTAACCAGTGTCTATCCAGTAAGATACACACAAATTCTATCTTCACGTAAGACAACACATTCAAACAATTTCATATTAATAAACTAATCAAGCTGTATGCTTCATCCTCCTCAATTTGGAAAACTACTGAGATGTTTGCAGAACATATAATTCCCTTTACTGGATTACTAGGAAGGCAGCTAATAAAATGAATATCCCTGATTAATAATGCTAGCAGATTAGGAACAAACAAAGACATACTTGCTACTGCAGGATATGGTGAGCCAGGAATATTCCTTGGTGGAAAATAATCCCGAGGTGGTCCATACATCAGGTTTCCTGGAGGTGGTGGAGGAAAAGGAGGACCCCTTCTTATAAAAGGTCCCCTTGGGTCCATTGGAAGCAAAGAGCTTCTGACTGGAGGAAAAGGTGGTGGCACAAATCTTAGTCCAGTTGCTTCCCTTTCAGTAAAAGTATATGACTCAGGCACATTTGAATTCTGTAACAAATGAACAAGTGGCATTCACTAAAATTTATTAAATTCAGCAAAAGTTTTCACAAAACCTTGTTAAGTTTTTTTTTAATAAATCATTTGTGTACCGTCAAATTGGATCTGACTAGTACAGAAGGAGACTGTCTCTCCTTCTCCAGCAGAGCATCTAGTAGATTTGAACCGCATACCTCTGGGATTGCAGTGCAGCTTCTTGCCACTATGCCAGAGCTCCCTTAAAATCTTGTAAGTTTTAAAGAAACATAGACAGAAAACAATCTAGAACTGTCTTTACAAGACTCCTGAGAAAAATTCAAACCATTTTTTCACATTAACATATCAGGTGGCTTTTAGCTATCAAAAAAGGTTTTATTAACACAACAGAAAGCATTTTACCAACAAAATAATATTCTGACCAAAGATAAAACACGCATGTAGTCCAAGAGTAGCAAATGTACAATATGGTCTCAAGCATATATTACAAACAGAAATTATAATATGCCTCTGTAAGGGAGATCTGGTGGCCTAGTGGTTAAGGAGTTGCACTACCAACCCAAAGGCATAAGATTCAAGTCCACCCGCTGCTTCAAGGGAGAGAGATGAGCAATATCCTCCAGTGTGATTTACATCCTCTGAAAAGCCACTGGGACAACTATAAATCATTCCTGACTTAACAGCACATAAAAACAACATGTTTGTTCATTTCTAAGCGACCAAAATAAAAATTGCAAATTAGTAAACAAAAGCCTACTTTAAAACATTCAAATGCTTTACTTCAGTAAATATCCAAGAATATTCTAATTTTTATTTCATTAGTAGAGTATCTCAAAACCTTAAATATGAATTATACTTTATAATAATAGTGAAAAGATTAAACTACCTAATCCAGAAAGAATCCAGCTAAAATTAGCATCCAGAAAAGAGTGAGCTATTATGTTAAATACAATTGTCAAAAAGACAGAAGTACTTCTATTTAAAATACAGACTGCTGGTTAATTTCTATCCTATTAAGCTAAGAAACTGCAAAGCTCTTCAACACATGGATAAAATTCCACTTCTAATACTTACATTAACATCATCTTTGGGATCATTTTTACCAGAATCCATTTCTGAAGATGTTGCCCCATCTACACATAGAGTTAAAGAAAAATAAAATTAGTTACTCCACTCTCAGAAAATATCCAGAGGACAAGGACATATTCCTACCTCCATTATGTGATCATAAACCAGCCTGATATCACCAGTCTCTTCCTGGGGATACTAGAAGGTATGTAGTCTGTAAGGACCTGTGCCTGCTAAGTCAAGGGCATCATCACCTCTCTGGTGGTTCAAATCCACCAGCTACTCTGCAGGAGAGACAGGCAGTCTCCTCCCATGCAATTTACAGCATCCAAAAACCTACTGAGGAGTCGACTATGAGTTGGTTCCTGTTAATCTAGATGCACATACTATACACATTATCACAATGCTCAAACCAACCACCAAAGTCTATTCAGACACCATTTCTAAACATAAAACCAGGAAACAGATCTTAGTTACAAGAATTTCAGACAGAAAATATATTAGTCCTTTAAGTATGCCTCATTATTATTAAAAAACCAAATAAACAAAACCGTGAAATGATTCTTACCTGCTTTATCAAAAGTAGGTCTGTTAAAACTTCTGAGCTCTGATGGTCCAGAAAGTCTACCAGAATTAGAATAAAACCTATCCTGCATTTGAGCAGGAACAGCTGGATCAGGATATGGTTGCCCTAGAAAACATGTTTTGTAAAAATATCTTTAGTATTTTTTTTAAACATTTAAGTTTAAGTTTAATAGCTTTAACTTGGACATTTCCCTTGCTTCCATCAAAGTGATATCTCCTACTCCTGGGAGACAATTGCAGGCTATTTTTAAACTGCATACCTTCTTAAAAACATTCAGCACTGCTGAGAGTTAGCAAAGCAGAAAGTTCTGATAGAACCAGATCTATGAAAGTAAGGAAACTCAACAGATTTGCCCAGCATTTGAAAGGCTACTTTTCATTAAGACACTGGATTGGAAAATTACCTAACAAATAGCAATATTAACCATCAGTACCTAGCTATATTTTATTTACTCAACAAATACACTTACCCAGATCATTTTAATTCAAAGCCCTTAGTGAATAAAACAAATGAAGCCTGTAGAGAAAAATCATGTTGTCATGATCACACAAGACTGGAAACTGAACAACTATGAGATATCATCTCACCTCAGTAAGAATAGCAAAATGTAACAGAACAGCAAACATCAAATGCTGGCGAGGTTGTGGAGAAACTGGAACCCTTATTCACTGCTGGTGGAAGTGTAAAATGGTGCAACTACTATGGGAAGCTGTATGGTGCTTTCTCAAAAAGTTGCAAATAGAAATACCACTTGACCCAGCAATTCCACTACTGGGAATTTACCCTAAAGAAACCATAACTGCCACCCAAGCAGATATATGCACACCCATGTTTATTGCAGCTTTGTTCACAGTAGCAAAGAGCTGGAAACAACCCAAGCACCCATCAACAAACGAATGGACAGAGAAGCTCTGGTATATTCACACAATGGAATACTATGCAAAACGGATGACCCTGGAGGATAGTATGCTGAGTGAAATATCTCAGTCACAAAAGGACAAATTTTGCATAGGACCACTGTTGTAAAATGGGACTGACACATCAGGGTTGAGGGAAGACAGAAAAGGAAGGAATGATGTATATTGCACTGAAATAGATGAGGGAGAGATCTGTTTAAAAGGGATATATGAATGGGTATTCTTGTCATTACAGAAGTCCAGAGTGAAAGCTGCATAGTGGAGTGGACTTAGGGGAAGGGACTGCATAACAATGATAAGAGCTTTTCTTTTTCTTTCCAAGAAGAAGAGTGATTTTGAGGGGAGGGGTGGGCAGAAAGAAAAGTGCAACAATGAATGACTGGAAATCCTAAGTCTCTGTAAACTTTCATTAAAATAAATTTTAAAAAAAGAAAAAGGACTGAAAACTGTATTTCTTTCCAATACACATTAATTTTTTATCTATGCCCTGCAACATGTAATCTAAATTATACACAAAAGAGTGCTAAAAGGAGCAGATATACCACATGGCAAATATAAGTTTTACGTACAAATTGTCCTTAAATATGTTATTCTAACATAGTAGTCAATTTTGTCTATTGTTGTTGACTGACATCAAGCTGAGCACGACTCATAGCGACCCTATTAACAAAAGACCCGAGGCCTTTCTATAACTAACTTGTTTCTCAAAGTTTATAAGAGTTTCCAAGGGTATGTGGTTTAGGAAGTGGATGCCTCTTCTGCTTCCATACCTGTCTTAAACTGGGAGCTCCACCAAACACTGTGTACCATGGGCAGCCATTATGACATTTGAGACCCCAATGGCACAAGGTTTAGCAACACAGCAAACCCAGATTACATCAGCACAGAAATCAACAGAAGAGTGCCATACCACTTGGAAGAATGTTCCTTCAAAATACAGTAACAAGAATTTAAATATAATCCCTCGGGCCCGACTTTAAAACAAAAGGGGCCTCTAGGAGGTCTTCTTGAGTCTAAACAAGAGACTTAAATAAAAAACAACCAAACATTCCACTCCAACCCTAAACCAAAAGAAGAGAGCCCATCTTATTAATCTTTGATAATCACTAACACTGCACACAGAGTAAAAAAGGAATAGATAAGTCTACTACTGAAAAGAATTGCAAAATTTTTATTACTTGACAAAAATAAGTCTATACTATCTAGCAATAAAAATGTCTTAAATAGGGTATATGAGAAAAAGGACATGCTATGGGAAAATCTGCAGTTAGGAGTCTCTCCAAATTTTTGAAGAGTAATGATGTTTGAGCACTAAGATGTGCCTGATTCAGGTCATGGTCTTTCCAACCACTTGCTCCACATCTAAGAGCTGGACAATGAATAAAGATGACAGAAGAAGAATTGATACCTTTGAGGTGTGGTGCTGGAGAAGAGCATTGAACATCCATGGATAGCCAAAAGAACAAACAAGTATGTCTTGGAGAGGGTGAGGCCGGAGTGCAAGAATGATGAAGCTTAGCCTCACACACTTTGGGTATGCTGCTAGGATGAGTTATTCCTTGGAGAAAGACATGATGCTGGGAGAGTTAGAGGGTTGGCAAAGGAGAGGAAGACCCTCAACCAGGTGGACTGATGTGGTGACTGCTGCAGTGGGCTCTTGAATGTCAGGAAGTGTGAGGATGGTACAGAATAGAACAGAGTTCAGATCACAAGACTATTTCCAACTCTATGAAATAAATCTTTTCTCCACTCTTTAAAATACTTAACAGCAAAAACAAGTGATTAAAAACCATAGAATTATAGTTGTTGTTGTTGTTACATGCCATTGAGTCACTTGTGACTCATAGCAACCCTATGTACAAGAGCTCCAAACGCCGTTCTATCCTGTGCCAATCTAGCTATCCCAAACGCACTTATTCCCACCACTCCAGTCACAGAATCAATCCATCTCATCGAAGGTTTTCCACTCCTGCACCGCCCATCCACTCTCCCAAACATGATATCCCTCTCGAAGGACCAGTCCCTCCTTGCAAAGTGCCCAAAGTATGTCAGAAGAAGCTTCTGAATCCTTGACTCCAAGGAGCATTCTGGTTTCACCTTCTCCAGGGCAAACCTGTTTATTCTCCTGGAAGGCCATGATATATTCAATACTCTTCTCCAGCACCACAGCTCAAAGGCATCATTTCTATCATCCCAATTCACTGTCCAATTCTCTGATGCATAGCATGTAACTGCAAAGACTATCGCCCAGATCAGGTGCACCTTAGTCTCCAGCATGACATCGATGCTCTTCAGTACTCTTGAAAGGTCCTTCACAGCTGACTTTCCAATATTTGATCTTAAGTCTATGCCACTCGAATTTCAAAACCATCTCAGGAACAGGTTTGAGGATGTGAGCACCAATGAGCGTAGACTAAACGAGCTCTGGGAGGCTATCAAGAAAATCGTCCATGAAGAATGTTAAGATCATTACAAAGGCTGAAAAAGAAGAAAAGACCAAGATGGATGTCAGATGAGACTCTGAAT